CTTAGTGACCTTGTAATGTGACCCATTGTATTAACTGGCTCGTACTTTTCTGTTGAAACAAAGATGCCCCGTGCCCCCTTCCGAACGCATACAATGAAGTTTGAAGAAGTAAGTAAGCTTTTCAAATGGAATATGGAATAACAGAAGTTACTAGACATGTCATCATATCATCATCAAGCAAGCCCAAATAAAAGCATAAGCAAACTGAATTAAAGACACAAATTAATTATTGATACAAATGATGTTTTACTTTAATTCATCTAAATTACAGAAAATGAGATTTGAATTTTGATGCAGAGGAGGAGCACAACCGCTCTAGCCGATTTGGTTAAGCCCATGTCTGCTTTTGTGGTTAAAAGCAGTTACCTCTACACGTTAGGTCCTTTGTTCGAATTCTCTCTTCCTAAATATCGCTCGTTAACAAAAAAAAAAAAAATCAATTAGCATTTGCATGAGCAAGTGCCAAGAATTAGTAACAATAACTTATTTTCAACAAAATTGTATGTTAAAGAAGCCAAATTTACCCTCACTTTACCTTATGCCACTCATGTGCTAATCTTGTTGAGAAAGTCAACAAAACTAAGCTCAATTGCAACATCAGTGAACAACAAGTAATGAAACTAGAAATACTAAAGTGAAACTGCGCCTAAATTATAAAGACAAAATCACAATTTAGCAAACAAGAAAAAGGAAAAAGATGAAATGTCCTTTTTATCTGTGTTATTATTCTAGCCGTGGAATTATAATCCGACGGTCTTGACTTGTCCTCTCCATTTGCATTAGTTTCGCAGGGAGAAACTGAAGTGAGAGAGGGGAGGGGTTTACCCAAAACCCAAATAATTGGTATAGCGGCGAAGATGGGTTCTTGGGTTTGCTTACCCAGCGGTGTTGGTAGTGTCACTGTCTCTGGTGCATTGCCACGAAGGGCTCTTTCTGCTCTTCTACTACAAAATCCAATTTCACTCTTACCTTCTTATCAATTTCACCACAACAGAAGAAGAGTTTGTGCCTCTGCTTCTTCTGGTGCAAAGGAATTACAACAGCAACAGTATCTGAGGAGCCCAGACCTTGTGGCCTTGGAATATGCTGACCTTAATCTCACCCACAAAATTTCCGAGGTCTTTGTTTTTGTTATTTCATCATCTTTTTCGTTCTGGGTAGAAAGAATTGTTATGTTGGTGTTCTGGGTTTTCTTATTTTTTAAAAAAATTTAAAATTTTGTTCTGTAAGAAAAAGAAACTTATTATATCTTTGATGTAAAGCTCATTTTGGGTTGTATTTTCGCAATTGCAGGAACTGGGTCATGTCAGAATCAGGCAACATGTCAACCCTCTAAGTTCCTCTCTCTCTGTATGTGACTTGAAGGGTGTTCTTTCTTTTTCTCTCTTACATAATACAATATAATTTTTTGTTCTGGTTACCTTCTGATTCTTTGGTCATCTTTTTGTTAGGTGCCTGTGGAAGTACCTGATTGGAATCAAGTCTTCAGGGACCCAACATTGCCACTCATGGTGGATATTGGATGTGGTACCATTTTATTTCCTTTTCTTATGAACTCCCTCTTACATGCAATCTATTTTTGTAGTCCTAGTGCTTCATAATTATAAGCAATTCAGCATTGCATATATGTCATGGTTGTTTAATACCATGACAAGGATGATATTTTTGCATATAGAACCAGCAATTACTTGCTAGCTTCTTGGGACTTATCTAGTTCAGTCCTTTAGAACCCAGTAATTGCCTTTGTGTGCGGTCCCCTGGTCTCGTGCACTGAAACTAAGCAAAAATACTTGGCTGGTTTTGCATCTTTTGTGATATTTGTCGTAATCCTTGCTCATATTATAGGTATATACTTCCAAATTTTGCTTCAACAATTATAGGCATCTGATGTAATCGTCAATTATCATTTGTCAATCTAACTATGTAAACATTCTCAGGTAGTGGCAGATTTCTCATATGGCTTGCAAAAAGAAATTTAGTTATGAGAAATTATTTGGGACTGGAAATACGGAAGAAAGTATGGGACAACTCCTTGGGCTATTTTTGATACACTTGATAGTTCTTCTGATTGAGTCAGTGTATTATTACTTGGTACTCATTCCTTCTTGTTTCAAGAGAATAATATGGTTTTGTTTCTCATGTACTTATGTTTTGCCCCTGATGCAGCTAGTCAAGCGTGCTGAATTCTGGGTTAAGGACCTGGCTCTTAGTAATATGTAAGACCCTTAATCATTAGATGGTGAAACCTTCTGTATATTATTATTGGCAAGAAAGTGATGTATTATATTGAATTAAATGGCAGATATTTCATGTTTGCTAATGCCACAACTTCCTTTCAACAACTAGTGTCTACATACCCTGGACCATTGATGCTTGTTTCAATCCTGGTGAGTTAATCTCTCGTGAAATTTTCAAGGACATTCTCATTATGTTTCCAATCATAAGGCTGAAACACCTTTATCTAAGTGGATTCTTTGCTCATGTTCATGTGCAGTGCCCAGATCCTTATTTCAAGAAAAGGCATCATAAGAGACGGGTTGTACAGAAGCCTTTAGTAGATTCCATTGCGAGCAATTTAATGCCCAGCGGCCAGGTTTGATTAAATAACTAAGTATAATTACTCATTACAAAATAATGAAGTGAAGATGACCTCTTTTTTGGGGATTGAAAGCGACTATGATTGATTATTAAAAGGTTGTCATTTTTGTTTAGCTTTGGTCCCTGCTATGAGTGACTCACTAGACATGTTGTAGATTTAATAGTATCAAGAGCTTGAAGCCTAATCTTTCAATTCCAGAAAATGGCCTTACTAATATCAAACCCTGATGCAGCTGGTCAAGTAGATGAGCAGCTTTTGCACTTTTCTTTGGTGAAAATATGCGTCCTTTCATTATGTTTGTTCCACATGAAATCTAACCCTTCAGTTTCTTGCTACACGACATATACCTTAGGTGGGGTTTATTTTTCATGCAGGGATCAATCACGACGAAAAGGATGAACCTTTTCTTCCTATTGATTGTTGCCTATTCTTAAAATAGATCTGTCTGGATACAAAGATATGGCTCTCGTTGCAAGGGTTAGGCTCGGGTTGGGGTGGATCTTTAGGATGAAGTCTTGCCAACCCACATGAATGGGAAATAAAAAGAAAGAACACACTGTTTAGAAAGACAGAGTGGAGCAAGATTATTGCTTTTATCAAAAACAGGAATTCCAACCAAATTTGTTTGTGTGTTGGGTCTCACAGTGGTTATGCGCTGTGTCGATTTAGGTTATATAATCGATTACAAGGAGCTCCATCAGTGACCTTCCCTTGTGGGTATTTTGTGATGTTTTGATCATGATAAATGATATCAGAGTCAATTCAATACTGCCATGTAGGTTTGGAGTAATTCAGTATGGTAAGTATAGGCCCTAACAAAGAAGTCAGGAATTTCATCTTGCCTCATTAGAGATTTCGGTGGGAGATTGTGGTGTTAAATTCATCTTAAAAATTGAGTGCGTGCCTTCTATGTGAATTCTTTCAATGATTTTGGCCCCAGTTGAAATAATGGCTTGATTTTGGATGAACAAGTATGATTGTTGCATGAGTAATTGACCTGCAGGCTTGATCCAATTATCTAATGTTATGTTAATGAGCAGGTGTTTATACAGTCAGATGTACTTGAAGTGGCACTTGACATGAGAAATCAATTTGATTCTCAACCCCAGGTTCTGAAACACATCCATGAAATCGACTCGAGTGTGCTGTGTGACAGTGAGGGATGGGTGTTAAGCAATCCAATGGGGATAAGGACAGAGAGAGAAATTCATGCAGAATTTGAAGGTGCAAAAATTTACAGAAGGATCTACCAGAAGCAAATGTAATTAACTAGAAGTAGAAGGTTCTTGGATGAAGCAAGTGAAGAATCAAGTGAGAGCTTTGATTGCGTCCATGTATCCTGTAGAAAGTAGGGTTTCTTACCCGTTAATGGGTAACGTCGGCAACATCGTGTGAAGGATGTTCATGCTTCAAATTTTAGCATGGAAAATCAAAATTTTGTAATGTCTTTTCATTAAAATGTAGCTTTTAGGTGAAACACAATGCATCTCAATATTTTATTAGCGGAATTGTTATCCTCCACGGGATGTATCTCTTAAAACAATTTCATACGTTTTCTAGAGTGTTGATTTTCCCGATCTCCTTTTGTGCACTTACAATTCCTTTTGTTTTTTTAATACTTTTTATTATAACAACAGAGAGTGTAAGCGAACAAAAGGTAAACGGGAAAATCAACTCCCATTTTTTACAATTAAAATCAATAATCATTAGCGTGCACAGGTTAAATTAAGGTAGTGTGTTTATTCTCTTGCACAAGTTCGATAACGGGGTTAAATGCATTTGAGTTTAACGTCCGATGTGTCAAATTGTTTGCTACGTGTCAGAAAACTACTAGGCCGTAGCTCCACATCAGTTGTACTACAGTTACAGTACTACTGAATGATTTCTCCACTCCACAGGAGACTTGGAGGCCATCTGCCAATGCCTGTCTTCAACTCTTCAACCATGCTCATGCTGCGTCTGAAGATCTCAGCCAAAGTCTGCCCTCATCTGCACTCAATCACCACTGTCTCCTTCTCCACTTCTGCCTCCGCCTCCCCTTCCATCTCCACCGTCGATCTCCTCGACTCCTACACCGTGACCCCACCAATCCAACCCTGGCCCAGACGCCTCCACCCAAAGCGCCTCATCTCCCTCATCACTCGCGAACCCAACCTCGACCTCGCCCTCCAAATCTTCCACCACGCCTCCAAATTCCACCCTGGCTTTTCCCATAACTACCACACCTACCACGCCATCCTCAACCGCCTCTCTCGTTCCCGCGCTTTTCACCCCAAAATCGACCCGCTCCTCTCAGACCTCAGCAACTCCGGCATCAAATGCTCTGAAGACCTCTTCATCACCCTCATTCGCAATTTCGGCGTCTTGGGTCGTCCCAAGCTCTCCTTCAAGACCTTCCTCGACATTCCAAAGCTTGGAGCTCAACGCTCTGCCAAGTCCCTGAACGCCTTGTTGAACGCTTTGGTTCAGAACCATGAGTATGGTTTGGTCCACTCCGTGTTTAAAAATTGTGGGCAAAGATTTGGGGTTAGGCCCAACGTGTTCACTTGTAATATACTGATCAAGGCGCTTTGCCAAAAGGGTGATGTTGAGACTGCACTCAAGGTGCTTGACGAAATGCCTGCAATGGGGTTTGTCCCGGATGTTGTGACTTATACCACGGTTTTAGGAGGGTATGTTTTACGGGGTGACATGGTTGGCGCCAAGAGGGTTTTCGGGGAGGTTTTGGATAGAGGGTGGCATCCGGATGCGACTACTTACACCATTTTGATGGATGGGTTTGTTAAGCAAGGGAAGTTGGTTGATGCTGTGAGGGTCATGGATGAGATGGAGGAAAATAAGGTTGGCCCAAATGAGGTGACTTATGGGGTTATGATTGAAGCTTATTGTAAGGCAAAGAAGTCGGGTGAAGCGGTTAATTTGCTTAATGATATGCTTGAGAAAAGGTATATACCGAGTTCGGCGCTTTGCTGTAAGGTGATTGATATTTTGTGTCATGAAGGGAAGGCGGAGGACGGTTGTGAATTGTGGAAGAGGCTTTTGAAGAACAACTGCACACCCGATAATGCAATCTCGAGCACGGTCATATACTGGCTTTGTAAGGAGGGGAAAGTATGGGAAGCCAAGAAATTGTTTAATCAGTTTAAGACGGATTTGATTCCCAGTGTCATGACGTACAACATGCTTATCGCGGGACTGTGTGAAGTGGGGGAGCTGTGCGAGGCAGGGAGGTTGTGGGATGACATGGTTGAGAAAGGATGTGCTCCGAATGCTTTTACATATAATATGTTGATCAAAGGATTTTGTAAAATTGGAAAAGCAGAGGAGGGGATTAGGATTTTAGAGGAGATGCTGGATAAAGGTTGTTTGCCCAACAAGTCTACTTATGGCATGTTGATTGAGGGGCTCTGTGACTTGGGGAAGGAATCTGAAGTCACAAAAGTGATTTCATTGGCAATGTCAAATGGAGACATTGAGAGTGCTTCGTGGGATCTTTTGCTTACTAAGTTTGTAGGTGATTTGGATACTGGGGGAGCTGTTATGGACAAAATACTTGTGGAGAATGTTAATTAGAGGCCTTTTCAACATATAACCCAGACCTCGTGAGAGTGGAATGCATTTATATAATCTCATGCACAAGGTTTCTGAGGTAAACAATATTCATGTTGTTAATTTGTCTATGTATGTAGTTTTCCTTGTGGAAAGAGAGAACATTCACCTTTTTTTCTTTATGAATGATGTAGAGTTTGATTTTTAAAGTAAGAAAGGATTGCTATTACCTTTGTATAAAGCTTGTTCTGATTTATGGGTGCAATTTGATTAGGTTTCTGTGAGCAGGCACCATTTGTGATTTGGGTGCACGAAGGTTCTTGTGCAATTCGATGAAATGTGCATTGAATGCCGCGGGCAAATTTGCACATGCAAATAGTTCCTTGTGGGTGTTTACAGGTGGAAGTTGAAGTAGCTGAAATCTGATGATGGTAACAGAGTTGTCAAAAGCAAAGTTGAGGTGAGTAATAGGTTCTTCAACCTCAATACTGCACACTTTGGCCGTTTGATCTTGCTTGTTTCACCTCAGTTTGATTAGGCCAAGCTTGTTCAATCTTGATTATGTCTTGTGTTGTGAGTTCGAGCGTCATATTCCTTAGTTTGTAATTCATGTTAACAACCAGTTGTATGGTAAAGAAGAAAGGGAGCGTTTAAATTTTTGCTGGAATCATTGCGTGGACTACCAAGCCTATCCAAAATTCTGGCTTCTAATTTTTTTAGCCTTGCACCAATGCTAAATTATGATGAGCCAACTTATTGAGGATCAAAAGGGACTGGGATTGTTGGTGCTATAAAACACACTTTTGCTTATATTCTCATGTTACTTGTCAATAATTGGCTATTAAAATTTGAAATACTGCTAGACGAATAAATAGTTGAAAAAAGTTTTAGTTCGTGTAGTATTATTGTAAGTATAATATTCACCTTTAGATATTTTAATATTTAGAATAAAAGAAGAATTCCACAAGCATATAATATCACTTTTATAGATGAGACATTGTTTTCAACCCACCAAAAAAAAGTCTCAAAATGAAAGATGACTTACTTTCGAAAAGTTATTCCAACCTGTGGTAATTATTTTCCTGATATGAGGTCTCCAATTCAAATATCTTTCTTCTAAATGTTTCAACCTATGGATGAGTGATAGTAATAGGATTAAGATACCCTCTATACGATCCTTAATTATTCCTTCCATCATTCTGAAAAAGTAAAGGCGGTGTACTTTTAAATATGGGAGATTCTCTCATGTTTTTGGTGCAAAGGAGGTTAAAAAGAAGGGAAAAGAAAATTATATATTCTCTCATCCTGTGTTTGAGAGTATGTGCATTTTGCCATGAAAGCTCCAAGTACTCAAAAATTAGTGGACCTTTTCTAGAGCATCACATTCAGAAATTCAGAGATAAATTCTCACCGTCTGGACGGCATATAATGAAGCACACGCGTTGAGTGCATCAACTTTATGTGTTGTATTTGTCTTTGGGATCAAATGATGAGAATCTTTACTTCTTTTCTTCATCCATATATATACAGTTCATTTCTTTCAAGTTTCATACACACATTTGTTTGTGTGTTTAAGCCCAAAGCCTCAACAGATAAACAAAAAGACTTCCAAATTAAGATAGTCATCATACCACAAACTGCCATCTCATCTGACTGTAAAATCATTTTGGTGAGCCATCTCTATCTTTTTCTTTGTAGTCATTATATTCTCTTTCTCTGTTAATAATGCTGTTATTTGATCTAGAATGGTAATATTTCATTGTTGTGATAATTTTCTTTTGCCTATTCTAATTAAAAAAATGTAAACTAAAGGTCCCTTAGGTCGCCATTTGTTTTTTTGTTGTTGAATGGAGGAATTGCTTCTCAACTGTTTTTCTTTTCATTTTTTCCCTAAACTATGTTTTATATGAAAAGGTTACTTATTTGAATCTTGAAGGTCAGTTGGTCATGTTAAACTTGTAGATGCAAACAAATCTTTGTACTTGGTTCCAAGATGATCTCTTTTCATTTGATGTTTAACATCACAATTGTTGCCATTATCTATACTTGTTATGCACAACAAAATTCTCTTGCTTACTAGTTTGACGTATTAATATCATGTTGCCATTTCATACTGAATTATGATCATTGATTAGCTAAAATCATGTATAGATGTGTGGTTGACATTCATAGTCTCTCAAGTACATAACCTTCCAAATATCTGATAATAACAAAACATTACTGGTGAGGTAGAAATTATTATATTTTTATCTGGTTTACTTGGATTTTTATTTCCTCAGTGTTTTTCTGAATAATAACTTTGTGCAGCTAGGCATCAATTTCACATACTTGAACTTAAAGTAACTAAGATGGGAGGTGGAAAGGACAAACAACATGAGTCTACTGACAAAGGGTTATTTTCATTTGATGGTGGATTTGGTGCTGGACACTATCCTGGATCATACCCTCCGCAAGGATATGGATATCCCCCACAAGCACATCATGGATATCCTTCCTCCGGTGGGTATCCTCCACCTGGATATCCTTCCAATGGGGGATATCCACCAGTCGCCTATCCAAGTGGATATCCCCCAGCCGGTTATCCAGGTCACTCAGGTCCATATAATTCAGGTAATCGAACCTCATCGTCTGTAACGTTTCAGTTTTTCAAATATAAACAAGAAGTTGTAGTTTTCTCCTTTCTCATTTACATTTATCACCAATATATTCTCACTTTTCCTTCTTTGGCTCACTGAGCTCTTGTTCAAGTGGTACTTCTCTTACTAACTTTTGAAGAGATCTCAAGTTCGAATCCCAAAGTCCCGTTGATCACAAAATGGCCATTTGGTGGAGTAAATATATATATTTTTTGACAAGTAGCTGAGTAACATATCCCACGTACTGCAGGGTATGGATCTAGCATGGGACTGGGAGGGATGTTAGCGGGGGGTGCTGCTGCTTACGGGGCTAACCATCTTGCGCATAGGGGCCATAGCCATGGATATGGTTACGGCGGGGGTTACCAGGGCTATGGTGGTTCTCATGGGAAGTTCAAACATGGCAAATTTAAGGGAAAGGGGAAGTATGGCAAGCCCTTTGGGGGCAAGTTCAAGAAATGGAAGTGATCATGGCGTGGATCCAGGCAAAATATCATGGTCGGTTCAAGATCTAAGTCTACAGATAATCTTATACTGTAATTGGCTTCCTAATAATTTCGACAGCCATGCTGTTTCGGGTTGTCTTATTGTTTCTTTCAATAATGCTATATACTATGTATGTCGTCTAATTTAGTTGTTTTTGTTCCTTTGAGAAGGCTAGTGGAATGCTCCTTTAGGCAATTGTTTTGGCAGCTACTTATATCATGAATGCCTCAAAGGCCTAGGGTGTGCACAGCCCTGTATTTATTAAAGACGTATTTTGTGATCCGACGAGGAAATCAAATTTGAGGTTTCTTTCAACATTTTGAAAGATGAATATTACTAGACCAAGAGTTAGTTAATAAAGACGTTCAAGTTTTTTCTGGTCTGAAGGCGTCTCGGTATACGTGAAGTATGTATGTAGATCAAGATACGTTCCTCTTGTTTCATGAAAATCAAGATAGAAAATCATGAGACAATAAAGGGATTACTCAATTGAGAGAATCAAAAGAGGAGATGTAGCCATCATATGATGGAAGCACAACTTTAGCTGCAAGCAAAAAAATTTGAATGTGCGTGTTTGATATTTAAATACTATCTCGCAATCTTTAATTTCTGAATTCGTTATTTCCTCTCCTTTTCCAATTTATTTTTTTAAATTCGCCTATCTTGACCATAGTTGGATTAAGACTGGGTAGTTCGGAAGATTGAACACGAAAACAAACCATATTAGAAGTTTATGTTTGGGCCAACCATAAAAGTTATAAGAGTTGTTGGGCCTTTTTCTAAATAAAATTCTTATCGTATGGATGACATGTAATAAAGCAAAAGCACACGCTTTGATGTCACGCGGTCCATTAGTTCTTGTCGTGGATTAAACTTTAATGTAGTCCATCGTCGTACGCCATGTGGATAAGAGGATGAGAATCCGTATCAAATATTTTATTTTAAATAATTCTAGCAATAGGATATTAAGAAAACTAATAAGCTAATTGTACACAATCACACTTTCAATTGGTTCCTTATCTACACCAAAATATTATATTGTTTTAATGTAACGATGTAGTGTGTATGTCAAGTCCTGTAGTTTGAGGAAACTAACACATAAGAGAAAAATTGGGCCTTTAAACATTTTTCATTGTGTAAACACAATACAAATTATCAATTAGTTCTTCGTTTATTGGTTTTTTTTTTTTTTTAATATTTGAAGAGATCACAAGTTCGAATTTTTCTTACATATTTAAAAAAAAACTTAAAATCAAATTTCGTATGTATAAAATTTTGTGTTCGCTTAGACATTTGATTCTTGTTATATCAAACACCAGCTCAATGTTGACGAAATTATCGGTGCTCTCCTTCACACTGCTCGTCACTAAGGTTGCAAGAGAATTAGTAGGCGATTGGTGGCGAGGAGCATGGTGGTGGCCGTTTAGTCTTTTAGGTGGAATGTTTTTTAGAAAATAAAAAATGTTTAAATAATAAAAGTTCAAACTATAAATAAGAGTAAAATAGTCTTTATTGGCCATAAGATTTTTTTTTAAAAGAGTAGAAAGAGCAATTAAATTGGTTCAAATTGCCTCACAAAGACAGAAGGCGTGCAAAACGTGTGTATCCTCAACTCATTTACATACAAATCAACCTGGTCTTTGCCCTTTCCGTCCCATTATCATCAACTTCCTCCTCCCTTCCTATTTTCCTAGAAGTACTTCAAAGCTTCTTCTTTAAGCTCCCTCTACGCGTTTGACAAAAAGAGAGGAAAAAAAAAAAAAAAATCCACACGCCTTTGTTTGTGTGTTTAAGGCCGAAGCCGCATGCAATCTTGAAACAAAAATTGTGGCACCATAAACTACCAATTTGGTGAATTACACAGAAAACAAAAAAGAGCATCAAGTTGGTGAGCAATACCCATCTTTCTCCATTTCTTTTAGCTTCTTTTTCTATAGTAATAATTCTAGTCTATGCTTTTGAATCGTGGTAATCTTTAATTGCTCCCAAGAATTTTCTTCTGGGTTTGTGGATCTGTGAATTTGGGTTACTTCTTTTTTGCTTTCTTTGTTGTTGAATGAAGTGGGTGGGGAGTTGCAGCTTCCTAACCCCTTTTCTTTTGGGTTTTCTCAAAACTATGCTGTTGATGAAGATGGGTTTCTTTTTTTAATGTTAACGATCGGTTGGGCATGTAATATGTGAGAAATAAACTTGTCTGTGTGTAAAAACCTGCTGCTTGATAATTTTACTCTATTTGGGTATCTAGCTTTTTGCCAAGATGATGATGATCTCTTTGGATTTGAAGTTTTGCCAAACAGTTCATGCTATTAACTACATAATATACGAAGTAGAAACCATTATGATAACAGGATTTCTCTTTAAAAAGTTAAAGATCATGGTTGCCCAAATTTAAGAATCTTTAGGTCATATCTTGGGCTAATTTTGTGAATCTTCTCTGCAACATAGTCTCTCTGTTTTTCTCGGTTGGACTCTGTTAAAGTAGTGAACTTTGCATATATTGGGCACCATTCAGACTATGATATGATGTGGGGTTGCTTAGTGGCTGTTAGTGTGCTTATTTCTATTTGATTACTCTTGGTTCTTGGTTTCCCAACTTATTTTTTGAATTATGATTTTTATGTGTGCATTAGTTACAAGTTGAATTAAGATGGACGGAAGAGACAACAAAGATGAGTCTAATGACAAAGGGCTATTTTCACAACTTGCTGGATATGCTGCTGGACACTACCCACAGCATGGATCATACCCTCCACAAGGATATGGATATCCTCCACAAGCACATGGACCACCTGGGTACCCTCCCCCTGGTGGGTATCCTCCTCCAGGTGGGTACCCTCCTGCAGGCGGGTATCCTCCATCTGGATATCCTCCCCCTGGGGGATATCCACCATCTGCCTATCCTGCCCCTGGTGGATATCCACCAGCCGGATATCCACCAGCCGGATATCCAGGTTCATCATCTCACCATTCAGGTAACCAAATCACCATTATTTGTTTGCTTATATTATATGACATGAGATTCTGTGTAGGGTTTAGTTTCAATCGTGACTTTGTAAGGTTATACTTATACCTGACCGGTCCCTCGGTGGATTCAGTTGTGACAGATAGCTTAAAAGGGCCAGAGTGTGATGTATTATCCTATCCTTTGTTTTGTTTTTCCTCTCATAACAAATTGACTGTAAGAACCTAGGCTACCTAGGGATGTTGCAGATGACCATTGGATATGTGAATAGCTAAACCTATGCTGACGCCATTGATTATTGGAATAGCTAGAAAGCTGTTGGTAATTGCATAGACCATTGCACTTTTTTCTGTCGTAGATCCTGAGCATCAAAGTTCAAATAGATTTTCAGAACAGTATTCCTGGGCACCAATTTTTCCATTGCATGTAAGATGAGAAGGACCATGAATATAGCATGTTAATTGAATGTGATATTACATCTCTCTGTTACATGTTAAGGACCATCGGATATGAAGAACCGAAATGTTGTAGAGTAATATATGCTATGCCACTATTTTTGTTTCAGTTTTTGCTAACAAAGGTTATATAGTAATATATGCTATGCCACTATGTTTGTTTCATTTTTGCTAACTTAAAAAAAACTAAAAATTGCAGGGCATGGACCTAATATGGGAGGGATGCTAGCTGGGGGTGCTGCAGCTGCAGCTGTTGCTTATGGGGCTCACCATCTTGTGCACGGGAGTCACCACGGCCATGGTTATGGGGGTCACCACGGCTTTGGTCATGGGAAGTTCAAACATGGCAAATTCAAGCATGGGAAATTTGGCAAGCGCTTTGGCTTTGGGGGCAAGTTCAAGAAATGGAAGTGATATAATGGACCTAGGCAAAATATAATGCCCGGTTGAAGATCTTAGTCTCTCTGTTGATAATGGTATTCTACGATTGGCTTTCTGAAAATCACTTCAGACAGGATTTTTTGGATTATTTTATTAAAAACTGCTATTATATATATGCCATTCTAGTTATGTTCGTTCGTGTGATGTAAATGAAGTTTCTGTTCCAAAACCACTTCAATAATTTTTTGTCTTTTCTTTTTATCCTCAACTAATTTTGAGTTCTGTTTTGGTAATGGTTTATTCTAATCCTAAGCCTCTCGTCTTTACCCTTACTAACAACTAGGTTAGACCCGAGGTTTCTTTCGCCTTACGTTCGATAGTAATAATAATAATAATAATAATAATAATTGTATAAGACATAAAACAGATTACAAATTGCGAGCAAAAAGAGACCCTAATGACTCAATTAGCTTTCACCCAAGTCTCGTCTTTCACATCAAATAAGGTCCGTTGACGCTATTATGATCCTTTTATCAAACAAAATATAATATATGCAAGGGGGTATATAGCTTAAATGATTAAAAATGTTTATCTTTGTATTTGAGGTCTTAAGTTCGATTTTACATTCTCTAATATTACTTGTGAAAAAAAAAAAAAAAAAAAGAACATATTTAATATGCATTTGTATTGTGTAGCATGACACCTCTTACCAAACTTACATTGTAAGATAAATGCTACATATACTTGAATTGTGAAATTGTAAGTTTAGATATCATATTCAAGTACAAACGAGCACAAGTTAGTTCCATCCAACCCACCTCTATAATCACTAACCGAACCATAATCAGTGAACACTTCAGATCAAATCGGCTCTCATAGAAAAACTTGGTGGTAACGAAATCAAATTGGGCCCGATTTGTTACGCTTAGAATGATTTTACAAGAATAATTTTCAAATGAGAATCTAAACATTGAACGGTTCACGACGTAAATCACTCTCTAAATGCACGTGAGTGATTTAATTCTAAATGAAAATAATTAATCCGGTAGTTCTTAACAAATTAGCATCTTCCCACTTCTGTTCCTCTCTCCTCATTTTCAACAACTTCCTATTTTAAATTATTTTACATTTTTATCTTTTTCTCACAAATTATTTTACATCTTATCCTTTTATTTAAACCTCACACTTTTCTTAGTTCACCCCATGTTCTAAGTTCTCCCCAACTTTTAATTTAAATTTTCACAATTTCTAAGTAAATCCCACTATCTTCCCAAACTATCCTTAAATACATCCTAAGCTGAAAAAAATAAGAAATAAAAGAGATTTTCTATTTAAACCTCATAAGTTTCCTTTAGAGGAGAAAATAAGTTTATTTATTTGTATGGTGGGTTTGGGGTTGTATGAGTTAGGAAAGTGGGGCTGCTCGGTGTTTAAAAGTTGAAGACATGGAAAATTGGTTTTCCAAGGGGGAAAAAGCTTATTACTTGTGTTACTTGTGTCACTGATATTTTCTGATGATTATATATGTATTGTGTCAATAGGTCCTGCATTGTTAGTTGACGTACATAACTGGTATATGTATTTTTGCTTCTGGCTATCTATTCTCCATGTGGATGAAAGCATAGCCTACTGTTTCAGTTGATATATGTCCTTATCATTCTGTCCCAATATGCATACAAATACATAGACCATGTCTACTGTTGAAGCACCAACCGAAAGGCTAGATACGTTAGCCTTTTGGTTGCTAAACAAACTCTACTTATAAATAAGTGAGGAGAACACATCATGTATTTTCTGAAAGATGGTGTAACTTGATAATACTTTATAAAAGTTTTCAAAACCCAGTAAGTCGGATGAAAATAAAACTATTGTGACAAAACATCTAATAGTAAGAGATCAATATACATCATGATGTACATCAAATGAACCAGTAAGCTCTTTCCAATTGTCAATGCGATCTCGATATGGACTATACCAATCAAATGCTTTGAGGTTGGAAATATCAAGCCAACGATTGATAACAGCTGGCATAGGATGGTGTGGTTGCAAGTGTAGCTATCAAAATAAAATAAAGTTATCAAATGTATAGTTAAAACAACAAGCAAATTTCACAATGCAAAACTGGTAGCTATAAATAGAAAAAATTTATTATAATACTTGCACAAAGTGTTTTTCAACCAATCCAATAGATTTCCAGACGTTGATATTCAGGCAAATGACTTTCTGTTGGTAGAAACATAAGAGATATAGCATTTGAAAAATGCATCAAGACCACATTGTAACAATTTGCAATAAGGTAACCCATTTCTGGGCTTCTCTCCCTCTTCTCCGCAGGATAATAAAAACCCAACTTAACAACAGTCCCATGAATCTCTTAGTTTCGTGCCTTTTGAATGTGTATGCCAATTAATATAATATGAAGAAAAATTCAAGTTACCCCATACTTTCTAGAGAAAGAGAACAGTTTTACCAAAACATCAGGTATAAATTTTAAATCAAAAAATCAAAACAATCAAGCAATCAACAGCCAAGAGTATCAAAAAAAAAAAAAAAGCAATCAACAAAGGGAATAGACTAAGATCATTACAGCTAGGGGTGGGCATCTTAAACCGAAATACCGAAACCGTACCCTAACCACACCGTACCATACCGATTTTATACCATTTCATTTGGTACCGATAGATATTCAGTACCGTACCAATCGAGTATGGTATGGTAGCGGTATCAAGATTTTGATACCGGTTAATACCGTACCGTACCGAATAGTACTCTATTGAAATATAATTTTTTTTTTTTTCATTCTCTCGCTCTCTGTCTCTCGCTTGCCTTTCAATTTCTCAAACGCTTTTGTCATTTATGTTTGGATTGTGTTTGTATTTTTGTAAGCCATAAGGCATAAGTTTAACTCTTTTGGTTTGTAAGCCATAATGCATGAGTTTTAACCATTTGGATTTGATGAATAAATATTGATTTGGTTGATTTGGATATTGAATATGTTGATGGATATTGAATATGTTGAATCTTTGAATTTGTAACTTAGGCATCACTTATTTTGGTGTTGAATATTGAATTAGTTCATTTTTTAGCTGTATCATTTTGGTACCGAAATGGTACCGATACCGTACCGATACCGATTTGGCACGGTATGGTACGGTACCAATTTTGGCAAACCATAATACCGTACCGTACCATACCGATTTAAATTTCCGGTATCGGTAACGGTACGGGCTCAATACCATACCATACCGTGTCCACCCCTAATTATAGCGAAACAATCAACAAGTCGTTCCATCAGCTTTCGCGCAGATTTTAAAGTGGTAGGCTCGTCAATGTTCAACGTCTTTAAAAGAGAAAAGTAATTTGGCATAGGATGTAGAAGAGTTTGTATTTTTTTAAAACTTAATTTGAAGAGTTGTGGGGTGTGTGGTGTGTAGATGTACTAGGGTTAAGTATTAAGTTGAATGACCTTTTTTGTCTTTTTACATAATAATAAAACTTTTTAATGATTTTGGGGTGAACTAAGAGAAGTGTTGGATTTAAATAGAAAAAATCTTCTTTTATTAGGTTCTATTTTCCTTCTTCTAATATCGCTTGTATAAACACGTATCGGACAAAAAAAGAAAAAGGAAAAAGCGTTTTGCACACGCATTTGTTTGTGTGTCTGTTTAAGGTCGAAGCCTCGAAGGAACCGCGCATGCAATCTTAACAAGAGAAAGAAGAGACACTTCCAAAAAATTGTCACACCACAAACCACCGTTTCAAAGAGTCTGCAACATCCATCAATTTGGTGAGCAGTCTCAATATTTCTTCCCATAATTGTCGCCTATTCACTATGAATAATTCTATTATTTGCTGTTGAAATCGTGATGATCTTTTGTTGCTCTAAGAATTTTCTTCTGGGTATGTAGATTTATGAATTTGTTTTTCTTTCTTTGTTCTTATCGTTGTTGTTGAATGCAGTCGATGGAACCGCTTTTCTTTTCATTTTTCTGAAAACTATGCCTGAATTGAACATGGGTTTCTTGTTTGAATCTTAATGGTGGGTTGTTCATGGGATATTTGAGATCATGGATTTCGAATTCTAGAAAAGGAGGTTTCTTCTTGCATTGTGATTTCATGAATTTCATCTTCCTTATGGATGCAATTGCTGCTAACAGCTTTTCTCTTCATCCTTTCCAAAACCGTGCTTTTAATAACATGGGCTTTGTAGCTGGAGTGGTTAAAAACGGTTACTTCTATATCGAAAGTCATGTGTTCATATCCCCCTCCCCTATATCGCTTGTGTAAAAAACAAAATTACATGGGCTTCTTTTGGGATTTCATTTTTCATTGTGATAAGTATCCATTTTGATAGACATTGAGGTACATTGTTCATTATGTGCTCAATTTAAACGTCGCAATGTCACATAATGATCATGAAATTATCCTTTGGTCAAAGCCATACCAAAAGAAAAGTGTAGCAAAAGTTAGGAATTAGTGTTTCATATGGTATCATGTGGCAATTGGGTGTAGTATTATATGTGTCTTTCTTTCTTTAGATCATCAAATTTATTAGAGTTCAATGTTCAAAAGCGTGGCCTTTTAGGGCTCAAGGTGGTGTAGCCTCCATTAGAATTGTGTTCATTTCATTGAACCTGCTGAAAAAGTTTGAACTGAGGGGGTGTTTTGATAGTAAGGGGGGCTTTACTTAAATGGTAAAAGAAAATCGCTTTCACATTTCCATAATTTTATTAGTGTTTAAACAATAGGTTGTAAGTTGTACCCTTCACTGCCAGAGCTATATGGTTTTTAAATATTTTTTCCATAGAGTTGCTGGTGAACTTTTGACACCAGAGGGTGTTGAATTAGCCTTGGAAAAAGAAGACATCCCTTTTCGGTATTTCTCATTTGTTAAATCTAATAGAGATTCATCACACATTTAATGGATTCTTTGTTTTTGTAAAGACCTATAAAGGAAATTATTAGAAAAATGTTTAAAGGATTTCATTTGACAAGTTCAATTACTGATCATCATCGTCATGCTTGCCTTCATCTCATACATACCAGTCCTATTATCTGAAGTACCATCTTACACCCTTTTTTTATTATGTGTTGTATTTCAAATCAGAAATTTTTTTCCTTCAGAATTTTTCATTTTTCGTGATGTCATATAAGTCTTAGTCCATATCTTAGTATTTTACCTTCGTTTATGGGTAAGGTGTGTGTTCCAATATTTTTCTAATACGGTGATTGTTAATTCTGCCTTTTCTAGTCACTCCTATCATCCATCTTAACATTCTCATGGGTCCACTACATGGATGCATGCTCTTAAATTTGGTTTATTTGGCGAGTTGAATTGCTGATATTCTTCCCAATTTTCTATATACACTTGTGCACAAGGTAGAGCTAGGTTGTGATTGGAAATTCTCTTTATCATGGTTGTGGTAGCTTGGTTCCAAGATGTTCTCTATTCATTTGAAGTTTAGCAGAATAATAGTTGCTATTAACTATAACCCACAAAGTGGAAACGATTTTGATAAAAGGACTTCTGTTTAAGAAGTAAATGGTCACATTGCATTTAATAATATCTGTTCATTTGGACTCTGTCAAAGTAGTGAATTGTTCCAAGGAACAGTATGATGTGATTTGGGTGTGGCTGTTGGTTGTGTTTGCTTCCTTCGTATTACTTTCTTTTCCCCACTGATTTATTGAATGATAATTTTTATGTAGGCTTTAGTTTCAAGTTGAAGTAAGATGGGAGGGGGAACAAACAACAATGATGAGTCTAGTGACAGAGGGCTATTTTCAAATCTTGCTGGCTTTGCTGCTGGACACTTTCCCCGGCCTGGATCACACAATGGATATCCCCCACAAGGTTACCCTCCTCAAGGTGGGTACCCTCCCCAAGGCGGGTACCCTCCCCACGGCGGGTACCCTCCTCAAGGCGGGTACCCTCCCCAAGGGGGATACCCTCCCCAAGGGGGATACCCTCCCCATGGTGGACACTCTCCTTCAGGTGGGTACCCTCCATCTGGGTATCCTACTCCCCCTGCAGGATATCCACCAACCGCCCATCCGGCGGCTGGTGGATATCCGCCAGCCAGTTATCCAGGTCAATCAGCTCCACATCATTCAGGTATTCAAATCACTTGTTTTATTTTCAATCTGAAATCAACAAAATTGCCTGTTGGAACCTTGCCTAACATTAGGGCTGTCCAAGAACCAAACTGAACCACGCAAAGTTTTGTGGTTTTGATAGAGCGACATTTTTTACTATTATTGTCCAGTTAAATTTGGTTTAAAAATATATATATATATATATATATATATATGGTTTCAACTGATCCAAAACAGGTGCTTATGACCATTCAATATGAGCATAGTTAGAAAGGCTGTTGGTAGAGTTACATTACACTGTTCCACTTTGTTTTTGGAGGATCACAAGCATCAATTAGAGTTTCAGAACATCATTCTCAGGCATCAACTTAGAAAGTCATGTAGTGCAAGTAATGTTACCTCTCTGTAGTTATAATACAAGGACCATTGAATATATCATCTTTGTTGCAATTTGTGCTGACTTAAAAAAAAATAAAATTTATATATATAAAATATATATTACAGGGCGTGGATCTGGCATGGGAATGGGAACGATGCTAGCTGGGGGTGCTGCCGCCGCAGCTGCTGGTTACGGGGTTCACCATCTTGTTCATGGGCGTGGTGGTGGTGGCGGCGGCTATGGTTATGGGGGTTACCATGGTGGCGTTGGTCATGGGAAGTTCAAGCATGGCAAACATGGCAAGTTTAAGCATGGAAAGCATGGCAAGTTCAAGAAATGGAAGTAATTAATAGCTTATCCAGGCAAATATAATCGTCAGTTCAAGATCTAATTCCCTCTATTGATAATACTGCAGTACAATTGGACTACCATTATTTATTCTTGGCCTTTTATTCTTTTTATTCTTTTTTTTTTCTTTCTGAAAGCTGCTATTGTGCATGTCATTTTAGTCCTGTGTTCCTTTATTGTAAATAATGTGTTTTTTTTTTTTTTTCCTGATGTCGTAAATATCTTCCGATTTAATAATCAATAAGTAAAGGTTTTTCGTTTAATCTATAGCATTGTTTGATATAGTTTTACAAGCCTGTTCTTACCATGTGGGTGTGGCACAGCCCAAGTAAGGATGGCTACAGATTGTTCCTTAGTTCCTCTTCCTTTTGATCTTTCTTTCAAGAGGGATGGCAGCACGATTGTGCTTGAGCAACGTAACCTCCCCTTAAATATCCCAAAATTTCCAGATTTATCTGAGTCGTTAGGCTGTCAGTGCCGCCCCCCATCCCCTCCCTTGACCAACTAGTTTAACACACGTGTACATAATTAAATTATAATCAATGGCAACTAAAACTTGAATGTTCAGCATTTTACATATCGGTGTATAAGACATAGAAATAAGATTGCGAAACCTAGAAATAAGGTTTGGCTATGAACAGTAAAAATGCATTTAAATGTATCCATCACCTTATTGCGTCTCAACCGTAGTAATATAAATGTCAATTTTTATAAAAACTTTCAAAAATTGTCAATATCCACTTAAATGGACTTAAATGCCCTCAAAACTAAAATCCACATAAAATTGCTACTATTTTATTTTAGATATTTTTTTTTCTAGATGAATTTGGTAAACATTAGGAAAAGGAAATCGCACGAGTAGGTTCGATCTTCTAACTTTCCATTCCATTCCTCCAGTCCTCAGCCCCAGATGTAGCCCCTCCTCCATGTCCATATAGAGCACTGATCACATGCAATACACACTTTTATGTTCAAGTCAAAGTAGCCAACAGAACAAGACACATCAAAGTAACTTTTTTGAATCCCACATCAATCTTTCTAAGACCAACGAATAATAAGGGCTGATTTGGTTTTGAAATGCCTCTCTCACAACAAATTTTTCAAGTCAGTTTAAGTCCAATTGAATAATAAGACTTTGCTTTGATGTGTCATACTCCTTCCTACAAGCGTTAGGGAGTAGTCAAAATATTTACATATTGCTTTCTCGTCGCTTAACTCTACTGATTTGGCCAAACAAGAGGAGATTCTTGCGGTGTCGAGGTGTCATTCATGAGGTATTATGAGTTCAGATTTGCGTTGCTGATTCCCCAAGTCCATCTTAGTTGTGGATTTTAGGTTTACGTGGGTTTTAGTTTTAAGGGTATTTAAGTCTTTTTAATGCGTTTTCCGCTATTTTTGAAAGTTTTTATAAAAACTGACATTTATGAAAATATGGGGTAAATTTTGCCTTTTTTTAATATTAAAACTTGTTTTTATTTTAGACAAATGCTACACTTATATCTTACCTAAGAATTATTCTATGCACCCAAGTTCGCATACTCCTCTGCATAATTTAGATTACATTAAAACAAAATATCATTTGAAAAAAATAATAATAATTTATTCTCTTATTAATTTAAAAAAATTTATTCTCTTATCGCATTTGTGTGCGCATTATTCTCTTAGGAGAATGCTAGCAACCTTCTCTTTTGGACCTTCTTCATTTTCCTTATGACATGTGTCACTTTCCTTGCACTTAAAACAATACAATTAATGTGTCTTATAAACTAATTTCTACTTTCCAAGTTTATCCTTATTAAATCTTTTGATTTTTTTTTTTGGACAACAAACTAGCCTTTTTACATACTTGTTTCTACCTTGTTAAAAAATTAAATAAAAAACTAATTGACGTTTTTGTTGAATTTTTTTTTAACAAAGTGGTAAGAAAGTTGTCAAAGAAAAAAAAGTCAATACATTTAATAAGGGTAAATTTAGAAAACAAAAAATAGCTTGTGTGATATATTAATGATATTGTTTTAAGTGTAAGAAAAGTAACACATGTCAAGAGGAAAAAACAGAAAGTCCAAAAAAGAAGGTTAGAGAGAAGGTTTCTAGCATTCCCCTTATTCTCTTATCACTATCAGTTAAAAAGGTCAAGAAAGTTGATAACAATGTCTGAACATGTGAACATACAAGTATGATATGTTTTTTGATAAATATACAACTCTTTAACTAAAGCACCAAAGTTGATTCATGGAGTTGGGTGTGTAACATCACACATCGACCAACGGAGAGGGGGTGATGTGCCTTATATGTACATGCCCGCCTCCATCTAGCATGAGGTCTTTTGGGAGCTCACTAGCTTTGGAGTTATAAGAACTCCGAAGTTAAGCGAGTTGAGGCTAGAGTAATCCCAGGATGGGTGATCCATTGGGAAGTTGCTCGTAAGCTCCCATAAACAAAATCGTGAGGGCAGAGAGGGGGCCCAAAGCGGACAATATCGTGCTATGGCGGAGCCGATCCCAGGATGTGACAATTTGGTATTAGAGCCACTCTGCCATGTGGTGCGAGTGTGCCGATGAGGACGCCGGGCCCCTAAGGGGGAGTGGATTGTAACATCACACATCGACCAACGGAGAGGGGGTGATGTGCCTTATATTTACATGCCTGCCTCCATCTAGCACTAGGCCTTTTGGGAGCTCACTGGCTTCGGAGTCATGGGAACTCCGAAGTTAAGTGAGTTGGGGGCTAGAGGAATCCCAGAATGGGTGACCTACTAGGAAGTTGCTCGTGAGCTCCCAGAAACAAAACCGTGAGGACAGAGAAGGGGCCCAAAGCTTACCACATATATATTATGAGAGGTTTGTGGTGTTGTAACACAATCTCTGAAGGTTTTAGAAATTACATTATCACTTTATGAGGTTTTAATTGTTTTCACCAAACACATTTTTTTCGTTTTCTGTAGAAAAAAATTGATGATTTAATTTTTTTTAAATTTAAAATTCTTCAAATGACAATATTAACCTTAATAATTAAACCTCATAGTATATGTGCAATCTAATCTATGAAGTCAACATTGTCATTTAGAGAAATTATTTTGATGACATCAATAATTTTTAAGTGGAAAATTAACCAACGATTTTGTGAACGCAATAGAAACCTCAATTTATAGTAGCTTATAGTGATTAAAAAAAACTCTTTTTTTTCGTTTTGATCGTTTTGTTTGTTTTGGGCCTTGGGGCCTCATATGTTCCAAAAAGAAAAATATAAAGTGTTAATATAAGTAATGTCCATGAATTATGTAATGAAGGCAAAAATTAATATTGGTAATGGATAATGCAATGAAGGCAAAATTAAATGAAGGATGATGGTCTGTTACCGTGTTTACATATTTGAGACTTTTTGTTTCCTAGGTAGAAGGGTTGGATTGTAACTTGGATTTGCTATTTTGGATACCAACTTAATAGTAAGGGTGGGCATCAATCCGACCGAACCAAGAAGAAGTCAAACGATTTAAAAATCGAATCATATCGTATATGGTTTGGTTTGATTTGATTTTGAGCTTTTGTAAATTGGCTTAAACCAAACCGGACTGTTTATGTGTATATTTTATATATGTAATGCTCTAATTAGGTAAAAACTATACATGAATATTTGAATTGAGCTATATTAGTAATTGAGATTTGAAGTTTTATGACATGTTGAGCTCTAGATGGTTTCGTACTCTAGAACATGATTTAAGTATGAAGCAAGTTGTGAATTTGTTGGTTGTAATTGGGCTAACAATATTGAAAAAATGCAAAAGAAAAGAGAATTGGGTTTAGGCCCAAACTAGCCGAACCAAACCAGACCAAACCAAACCATTTTAAATTGGTTTGGTTTGGTGTTTGGTTCGGTTCCCTTTTTTTCATAACTTTTGTCAAAATCAAACCAAACTGTTATATTGTAATTAATTCAGTCGTAATTTTGAAGTGAAACTGATCCAATCCGGACCATACTCACCCTTACTTAAAAGGATCAACATATTTTCTCTCAATTTGGGCCATCCATGTGAAAAGCATAATGGTGGTCCACTGGTTCTGCGACATTGTAGTCCAAAAGTTCATATTCTGAGAATTTTATAGGAAAATCACTTGAAAATAAAAAAAATAAAAAAAATAAAAAGATTTCAATCGTCACCTTCCTAACCCTTATAATCAAAATAGTAATGGAGGAACCCTTTGAAAATGGTGAAATTTTTTTTTTTAAAAAAATACAAGCGATAACCTAATCTACAAGGTGAGAGGGTTTCTCACACATACATCACTAAGGTGTTAAAAGGGTTCAAACCTGAGACCACTAATTTGCCAATCAATGCCTTTTTTCCCTAGACTAAACTCCTGTTGGCGAAAATGATGAAGTTCTAATCTACAAGACATGTGTTGGTTTTGAAGAGGATGGCCCTATGATATTTTTTTTCTTCTTAATTTCTTTTGGCCATTATGAATTTTCTTAAATTAAGCTTAGTATTTGATTAAATAGTAGCTAAGAAGGATACCGTTTTGGTTGGATCCATTTCAGACCAACGTGAACCATGAAGCATATCAACCATCTAATTAAGCTATATATATTATTAGTTAAAGAGTTTTCCAGCCAAAGTCTTGGTTGTTGGATCACTTGTGCAAATCTTCTCAAATCAAGAAAAATATCACAAAAATAATTCATCTAAAAAAATACAAATGAAAACCAACTCATGCAGTCAAAAGTCAAGAACCAGCCGTAGTAGAATAACTCATTGCTCACCTACTCTGCAACAGGCTCCCCATGGATTTTGGTCTCTAGTTATGTTGTTGTTGCTGGTTTTAATATATTTTTATTTCATTTTCCTTATTTCCCCCTTTCTTTACCCATAAGAATAAAAAGTAAAATTGCACAACTTTTTGGTTTGCATGTTCCTGGGACTTGAGTGGTTTACATGAGGGGCCACCTGCTCCTACTCCCACATGCACTATAGTTGTCCTATGTGCATGTCACTTTTAAACCATTGAATGTACTTTGTTTTGTTGACTACTTAGGGCATTTAGTTCTGTTAATTCAACTACTTGGTGACAATGGCCCTTTGCAGATTATGCATTTCTTTCCACACTATAAGTAGATTTAGGATTAAGGCAATGCTAGAGAGATTATAATTTTCACA